TTTTTTTTTTTTTGGTCCAGTGCATATTTCTAGTTCACATCCTGGTGGATTTTGTGGCTGTAAACTCATTATCTCATGAGCTGTGAAGTCCCAAATGGAGAAATGTGGGCAAGGTGGAAAATGAATGACTGAGACTGGGTGAAGTTTAAATAATATGAAACCTATCTATGTAAAGGTCTGAAGGAAGGGAGTTGAAAGTACCTGAAATATATGAACAGAGTAATTTCCATCTTCTTTTATTAAGTATATTGCTGCAACACAAAGAAATTCCAGTTGGCTCAAACCCTCCCAAGTTGACAAGTGCTGTACAAATAAATCCTGAACAGGAACATGGACTGTTCCCCCGAACGATGGGTGCAGACAAATCGAAACGGTGAGGCAAGCGCAGCCCTTTTCCCTGTGGGATGTGATCCACGCTTGGGGTTCCAGCACCACAGAAATGCAACAGCTTAATAAACTGCCCAGGCTGGCTGGCAGCGATCCGAGCACGGCAGCGATCCGAGCACGGCAACGATCCACACCGCTCCCTTTTGTTGCAGACATGGCTGGACAAGAGGGATTTGTGGGAGCTTGAGAGGCTTTGCAGATGTTTCTGGGGTGTGCTTTCCGTGCACGTGAGAAAACAAAGGTTCTTGTTTGAACATACGGAGAACAGCAACTAAAATTGTGGACTAATTAGAGCAACTCACTCATGGCTACTAGAGGGTTGTAAGGTCCAGCAACATTCTCAGGTGGATCCCAGGCTTCCTCCCTTTTTTTTTTCCTGTCTCTTAGAATCAGAGCGTGCGCAGGATTCTGCTAGGACCTCTTGAAACTATCTGGCTCTTTTGTTTTAGGAGACAGCTGTGCATTCGTGGCATAACATCCTATCCTAGGGCCTTTCTTTTTTGTTTTTCCCCATAGGTGGAGCAGAACTGGGCAACGCTACAAGGGGGTGAGATGACTATCCAGACGACGCAGGCATCAGAGGCCACGCAGGCAGTGGCATCGTTAGCAGAAGCAGCAGTGGCAGCATCTCAGGAGATGCAGCAAGGAGCAACTGTTACCATGGCACTCAACAGGTATGGGTGAGAGATGGAGGCTTGAAGCACACATGCATGACACTTCCTTCTAGGTTTTCACTCTAATGGTGCAAAGACTGCTGTGTGCCGTCCCAGTAGAGGCTTTTCTTTAGGAAACTCCTGTCAGCTTGTGTCCAGGTGTCTGCAGGACAGTTCCAGATTTCCACTGTAGCTATAGAACACTGACATGGAAAATTCCTGAAAGAGGAAAAGATGAGTAGTAACTGTACCCTCTAAATGATCTCATTTGTATAGCAAGGATCCAGTTACAGAATCGAGCTTGCTGAGCAAGCGAGAGTTGTGATGTGCTAATAGCACCTTTTAAGTATGCTGCTCTGTGTCTCCCTCTATTAATGGTTTCTTACTGAAAGACTAAGGCTGAATTTCCCTGTGGTGTGGCAATATGGTCTCTTTTCAGAAATCAGAGTCTCTTGTCCACAGGCCAGTGTTTTGGGGGTTTCTCCCAAATGTGTTTCTGAAGTAGAAGGTGAATGAGCTGCAATAGTAATGGTGCCTCTTCATCTTGGAATGAGCTCTGATAGCTTTTTGGTTGTACTCGGGTTACCAAGATCTGCAGCGTAGTTGCAGGAAGGCAGTGTCTTTGCTCAGCTCTGGTGAGTTCCTTAAGCTTTGCCTGCTGTTCTTAAAAACTGGAAATGGCTGTTGCACACCGCAGCTGCACCTTGAGAGAGCAGGAGGATCGTAGGAAACACGGCATCAGCCCCCAGCAGCATGGGAAGTTTCACACTGCTGAGGTGTAGACAAAATATTTTCCTCATCCAAATCAAGATTCTGGGCTAGAAGCTGTTGACTGAACAGGCCTGGGTTAGGACAAGGCGTAAGTCCACGCTGCTGATGGTTGGAGTAAAGCTCTGAGACCTTGGTATATACACAAATTGCTGAAGCAGTGACCTTGATCTTGGGAACATTCAACACCTCAGTTCCAAATTGCTGTTGCAACTGCATCACAAACACACCTAGAACTGTTTCTTCTCTTTGTGGTTCAGATTCAGGTCCATCATGTGTGTTCTTTTGTGCTGCCACAGAAGGTTGGTTAAGTAGCCTTTTTTACTGGTAGTTTTAGTATAAAATTGCCTTTTAAAAACAAGTCATCTTTTTAGGACACTGTAAGAACAACTAAAGTAACTAGGCATGGGGTTGGAGGAAGAAGCCCAATCTCCCAGAATCTAACTTGCAGGATTTTATCCTGCACATTTCCAGGCAGTAGATTTTTATTTTTTTTTTTTAATAGTTTTTCTGGACTAGAACATCAATGGGCTTTGATTTTAATTACATCCCATCCCCGCTAGTTTTAGTTCTTAAGGTCGCAATGAACTATTCCTTTACCTGCATTAGCTTAAGAAATGCAGAATCCTCAATAAAAAGGAGCGTTAGAACTAAAAAGTGTCTCCTAGAAAATATAAATGGAAGAGCCTTCGACAAGTCATTTAGTCTCTGCTGTGCCTCAAGACAGGATCAGTTCCACTTATACCCAGGAAAACCCTGTGATAAGTCTGTTCAAACAGCTTGTACATCAGGAGTGGTGTGAAGGCTGTAGCAGCATTGCAGTGAGAATCCCAGAACCACCTGGGTTGGAAAAGCCCTTGAAGCTCCTCCAGCCCCACCATGACCCTCCCCCTGACCGTTCCCAACTCCCCCAGATCCCTCAGCGCTGGCTCAGCCCGACTCTTCAACCCCTCCAGGGATCCCGGGGACTCCCCCCTGCCCTGGGCAGCCCATTCCAACGCCCAACAGCCCCTTCTGCACAGAAATCCTTCCTCAGAGCCAGCCTGACCCTGCCCTGGGCAGCTTGAGGCCATTCCCTCGGGGCCTGGCGCTGGCGCCTTGGCTCCAGAGACTCATCCCCCCTCTCTGCCCCCTCCTGGCAGGGTGTTGCCGAGGGCCAGGAGGTCTCCCCTCAGCCTCCTCTTCTCCAGACTGAACCCCCCCAGTTCCCCCAGCCGCTCCCCAGCAGACCTGTGCTCCAGACCCTGCCCCAGCTCCGTTGCCCTTCTCTGGCCACACTCGAGTCATTCAATGGCCTTTCTGGGGTGAGTGGCCCAAAACTGAACCCAGGAATCGAGGGGCGGCCTCCCCAGTGCCCAGCCCAGGGCTCAGATCCCTTCCCTGTCAATGAGGAACATCGTGTTTTATTTCCCAGCTTGTTGTCACCCTCTTTGTCTGCTGACCATGGTAGTGCTGGAGACCCTTGTAGGTGTCTCCTCCAACACCCTTCCATGCGGAAGAGGTGTGCTTTTTCCTTTGCCACAAAATGCTCCTTGGAGCTTTCAGCTGTAGGACTACAGTCTTTCCCCTTCCTAGAGGAAGAACCCAGCCAGGCTCTGCTCCTTGAAAGCTGGTGCCTTATCCCAGCTCTGGAAACTTTATGCCTCATTTAGCTGAAAAGTGCCATCCCTGAACCTTGTTCCGATGGCTGCTGAGGGAGCGCAGTCTTTCATAGCCCTGCCTAGAGCAGCACGTCTGCCAACAGCACGACATGATGGATGACGCAACCTCTGTTAGGTTTGAGGATGGGAAGTATTAGCCCTTCTAGTAAAAGAGGACAAAGTGAAGGTGGGTAATTAATTCATTGATCTGAACCAATTAATGTTTGTGGAGCACACTGTAGCTGGAAAAAGCTTTTATGCCGCAGATCATTATTATTTTCAGGGATGCAACCGTAACAGATTATTAAGATGCTCAATTGCCCTTGAAAATGGATTCAACTAAGTGCTGTGTGAAGCCTGGGAAACAGGGTTACGCTGGTAAATGCATGTTTACTCCAGGTTTGCCGTGTTGTAGTTGTCTTTCCTGCAGTGTAACTGCCTTCGCATAGCTGCAGGTTCAGAAGAGAGGTTAGCCAAAGGGAGTAAGAAAGCAGAGCAAGAAAATATTCTGGTTCGTTAGCAGTGTTTAAGAGCTACCTTGAGAGACAGGGGGGCTATTCAGAAACGAAAATATACCCTGAGTGAATACAGTTGGAAAGTGTACAGCATCTAAGCAGGAAATTGGGAAGGAGAAAGAATGAGTAGGAAGTACTTGCAAAATATTTGAGTCGGTGTACCGGCGAATGAGCAGGGCAGTTAAGGAAGAGCATCCTAAGGGAAGCTAAAGAAAATACCTACTTGAGTTCATTAAGGTAAGAAACGGCAGGAGATTCAGCTGCAGGAAGGAGGTGGCTTTGGGATTTTGTGACTAACAGTAGGTCACTAGAAGTGGCTTAATAGTCATCCAACAAATCTGGAGAAATCTGGACGGCTGCTGAAGGACACTCACAGCACTCTGGCTGTGCAACCAAATGGCAAATAAAATATGGTGTCAATAAATGCCAAGTGATACACATGCAGAGAAATATCTCCCAATGAGGGACTGTATGCTACCAGTTACCATTCAGGCAGCATTCAGGGGACTGTCCTTCAGGAATGTTTTATCACTGCTGCACAGAGACTGTCAAAAAGCTTGAATATTGGGAAATGTAGGGAAAGGCATAGAGAACAAGCCAGGATTAGGCCCCTGGACTAACTCATGGTGTGTCTACATCTTGAATAGTGTGAGAACTGGTCACCCCCCTCAAACAGATGTCTTACAGCAGAAAAAGTCTGGAAGGGACGAGAGTGATCAGAAGCCAGGAAGAGTCCTTGCGCAGTAAGTGGACTGTGGCTCTTCAGCTTGGGAAGATTACTGCAAGTCTGTGAAATCATGGGGAAAACAAAAATGCAACAGCTATTTTCCGTTTCTCACAATATCAGGCTTAAGGGCTGCCCAGCCAGACTGAGGCAGCGGTTTTCGGAGTACCAGAATGCCATTTTTCTTCACACAGCATCTAATTAAACATGGAACTCATTGTTAACAGGAAGTTGTGGAAGCAAAAAGTATAAATGGGTTTGAAAGGGGATTAGACAAATCAAACCTGATGGTCCAGATGCAGTCTCTGATGTAGGAAATCAATACGCTGCCGACCGTTGCAAGCTGAGAGGGTGTAGGAAGGGAAGGATCGTACACACTCCTTCCTAAATGTCTGATCCTGGCTGTTCTCACAGCAGGACTGCTGCACAAGAGGGACCTTTGGTCTGACCTCATTCGTATGGAGAAATTCAAGAATACTGTGCTAAGCTACAGATCACTCATTAAAAAGAGTTATTAAACCACTTGGCTGGGGAGAAGTACTTCATCTTGGCTAAATACAGAGCTGCTGATGTGATCCTGGTAATGGTAAACCTCTGGGCCTGTTTCAGTGCAAGGTGAACTGGCTGAATTGGTAAGGAAGGGGAAAGCTCTGAAATGTGTAGAGACCTGGAATGTGACAGTGCCAAAAGGATGACTTTTGTACCAGAAACTCACTTGGATTGTCCAAAAGCTTTTAGTAAAGTGCTCAGCAAAAGGATAAGGTAAGAAGGCAGGGATGTCCTAAGAGATGTGCAAGCTGAAAAACACCAGTGGAAGCAGCTTCCTCCCCTATATTCCTCCTCCACTGTAGATTTTTCTGCTCTGGATAACTTCATCTGGGCCCAGTAAGAATCCCTCCTTTCTGGATTTGTTCCCTTTGACATACGATGCCTGGTTAAAAGGGATGTTATTGAAATGGTTTGTTTGTTTGGTCTTCCTAATTCCTCTTTCTCCTCTCCTATACCCGCAGTGAAGCAGCTGCCCATGCAGTAGCCACGCTTGCTGAAGCCACTCTTCAAGGTGGAGGACAAATTGTCCTGTCTGGTGAAACTGCAGCAGCAGTAGGAGCACTTACCGGAGTCCAAGATGCCAATGGTAAGGCTGCCAGAAGGTTTTTACTTTGGGTTTTTTTTCTTTGCTTTTAGCTAGGGGTTGTTCCTCTCTTTTAATTGAAATGTCAAGTTTTTGCTAGTAAAATAGTTCTGCTTCACTGCAGATTGTCACTAACAAGGTTGTGACTTAAAAGCCCAGAACAAAATGGTAGTGCTAAGCTCTTGTTTACTGCCATAGTGCTGGTGGCTCTGCTCTTTTCCTCCTTCTGCCAGCTTGCTATTTAGTCTCAGTTTTGGGTGGGAAGGCTGCTCCCAACTCTGTATCTGCACAGTGCCTAGCACAGGGAGGACCAGATTCAGTCAACTAACAGCTAGTTAGTGCCATAATAAACTCATCTCCAAAACGCTGCCCTGTGAAGTGGCAGAGAGTATGACCAGCGTTTTATTACCCGCTCATTTCCTTCCTTTCTCAAGACTTTTTTTGTATGCTTGGTGGCTGCTCTTGAGCAACTGTTGCTTTTCTGCTTGGGTGGCACCTTCCAGTCATCCCTTGGCGGTCAGCCTCGGGTTGTTTGCCTCCTGCTTTATTTTCCATCTTGCCACCATAGTCAGTCGCTTGGTTCCAGGGATTCTCTGTAGCATTTCTCACTTATTATCTGGATGTCTCTTCTGCCAAGTCTGGCGACTTCCACAGTTATTCAAACTAAGCTGTAGTGAATAAAACAGAAATTGGTTCAAGAGATTCAACGATACTGGAACGTATGAACGTGTCTGGTTGGTGTTTGTCCACTGCCTCCAGTTGCCCTGTACTTCTGCCTGATGCCTTTCCCATTCTTTCCCAGTTCAGAGGTGAAACTCACTGGTTATTTTGATTAAATGAAAGGAGGTGTGTCAAAATAAGCTCAAAACGGATGCAAAGTGTGAAGTGGTAGAGAAATGTCACCTTGAGGATGGGGCTATGTGGACTCTTAATTTTCAAAGGGGGAGCAAGCATGTGCAGTTGGGTGGCAGAGCGATGACTTCTCGCCTTGTCACTTTGTGGGCAAAGCAGAAATCTGGCTAGATGAGACCTCGAGTTTGACATCCATCAAAATCCTCATCTCATGGGGAGCGTGTTTGGTTTAGAACGTCAATATTTAGTTTGCAGCAAAAACGGGGCGGTGGAGGGAAATGTAATTTTACTCAGGGTGTTCGACTTGATATCTCTTGCTGTGGAGTCAGCCAGCCTGAAGAGGGAGCAGAAATGAAGTGAAAACGCTGTTCTCAGCTGGGAATGCAGCTGATCTTGAGAGGGAAGAGTAGGGTTGGGTTGTATTCCGCTTTGCCGGCAGCCTGGCATGAGGGGAATAAGTGATGTGTGTTTATTGAAGGAAGGATCTGACCCTGGATGCTCAAAACCAGCAACTAATCAGATCTGCAAAAGCACGTTAGTGTCCTTTAGCAGATCTGCACCCCTGACTTCTTTTGGTCTGCTTCCAAAATGCTTTCATGGTCTGGATTCCTCTGGATGCTTTCCCTAAAAAAACTCTCCTCCTCCACACCCTTCCTGAGTCACCACCTCACTCACCCAGCATTAATAACGTTTTAATGCAGGCTGGGCTTTTTTTTTTTCTTTTTCTTTTTCTTTTTCTTTTTTTTTTTTTTTTTATTAGCAGCAGATTTGGAAATCAGGTGGCATTTAGAGTGCATTAAGGGGAAAGACTGCAGCATTTTCCTCTGTGCAAAACCTCGCCCGCAGCCCCTCGCCTTGTTTCCACTCTTCGATTTGCTCTAATCTCCGGTGGTATTAAGGGGAAGGGCTTTGTCGGCGCGGCAGTCCTTGGAAGCGCCATGCTGTTAGTTTTATTACGTAACCAGCTAATATATCTCCCTTAGGGATGGAGGAGATGTTGGTATCCATTCCTGCTGTCTCTGTCTGGGGATGGAGAGCAGATGGATTTTCAGCGTTGGCACTGTCGCGGAGGATTTGTCTGCTTTCTCCGTACCCTGAAGCCCAGGGTGTGAGTGGGAGCGTCCTCTTGGACACCGGTGCTCGGTTATTTGATGCAGTGGGGACAAACTGCTCTGTGTGCCCTTCTGTCAGGAGGAGACAAGATGGGGATTTTGTTCAATTGGTTGCAGGAAGGAGAGGGGGGAAAACGACTGCCAGAGCCATAATGGTACTAACCAGCAAATTCCCCCTGCTTGGTGTTGCTTGCAAAGTCTTCACTTGCTGATATTGCCAATAAATGCTTCTCTCTAGGAATGCTCTTACCCTTCTGTAGGTCCCTTCTGAGGGATTCCAATTCCTTACCCACGCCACTTTCCCTGCAAGGGACATAAATTTATCCCCATCTTATTGGTAGGGAAAAGGAGGCAGTAGTTTAACAAAATTGCTTGAGGTCAGGTGAGGTGTTTCATTCCCAATTTGAGCCATTAGATGTAATTATTCTCCTTTTAAAATTTCTTGTTTCTATCTTGAGCTTTCCCATCCGTTCTCTGGCATCTGAATAGTAATTAAGTGATACAGAAGAACCAAGACAGCTAAAAAGAGGCGACTCTTCTGTATGTTTGTGGATGTCTTGGAAACTAGGGCTGAATGTGGTCTTGCAGGGAGCCCAGCAGCATGCCTGAACTGCGAAAGGGCTGCAGATAATCATAGCGAAGGGAAATAAGATCTCCTGCTCCCATGCAGTGTCAAACTAGCTAAGTGCATTACGGTTTCCTTGCTGCTCTGGAGCATCTGCTCTGAGTTGGGATGCTGGGAGCGATGACCCCATGGTTTGAGCCTCAGATGTTTTGTTCTGAAGTGGCTGGCATTAAAGCAAAGTAATACTCAAAGCGAGCGAAGGGGGTGGTAGCAGCACTGATTTCTGAAGTTGGCTGGAAACTGAAAATGCTCTGCTAAGAGGAAACTCTGCGCTCTGGGGCTGCTTTCGGGGTGTGCTCTGAGCAGCTCCGGGTGATGGGCTGGTGCTGGAGCCGTCCCAGCCCACCGGGGCCGGAGGAGAGAAACTCGATCAGCGTTGGAAAGGAGAGGTGACGGTGCCAGCCTGCAGTCTGGGCCTTGCTCGCCGGAGCATCCTCATGCTGCAGCCTTTTGTTTGACATTGATCCGAGCGGGGGCTTGAAAGCTGCTCGGGCTATGGGCTTCCTGGCTTCATCTTGAAATATTGATGAAGCTTTTGCCTAAGCGGTACCTGCGCAGGGCTGTAGCAGTGCGCAGGGCAGCCCGTGAAGGACAGAGCAGCCTCCCTGCCCGAGGAAGGTCGGTTTAACGGCCTCGGTGTTATCACGGGCCTGGGGTTATCATGGTTTTGTGCAGCGCGCGGCGTTTTGAAGGGCTGATTTGAGGGTGAGAGGAGTGGGATGCTCAAAGCTCCAGCTGGGGTTCAGAACAGGCCATGGGAGGAGGCACAGTGGAAAGAGCTGGTGTTGGGAAGAGAAGTGGCAGTGGATGATGTGAAACCAAGCTGTGACCGGGGAATTGATTTAACAGACCTGAGCTAGGCACAGCCAGAGCCCCAGTGGGTCCTTGCTTGTGCGCTTTGGTCCTCGCGTGTGGCACTGCTGCTCTTTTTCCTGCCCCCAAAGCACATTTGACTGTTGTATCTCCTCCCTGTGCTGCTGGAGATGCTCCTGGGAGCGCTGCTGTGTGGGAGTGTACAAGTGGGCAGGAAGAGGAGCCTACAGCGAGTTTTGCCCTTCTCCATCCCCCTCAGTCATCCTAAAAAATCCAAGCTCAGTTCTCCATACAACCAAAGGGAGCTGTGCTTATGGCTGGGGGTGGGCCAGGATTATCGAGTTGTGATGGAAGCCCAGGGAGAGCATTAGGACTCTGACGTGGGCAAAGGGGGATTAGCAAGCTCTCTGCTTTCGCAAAGAGAGGAAATAAGGCATCAGCACGGGAGCATGCCTTGCAAGGTGGCGTAGGATCAACAGGCCTATAGTGGCATTTAGGGTGATGGGGAACTTGCTGTGTAGAAGAGCTGCTCCACTTGGCAACTTCTGTATCAGAAGTGGTTTAAACGCTGAAAAGGCTTCAGCTCTGGGTGAGGCTGCTGAGCGTCCCACAGGAAATCAATATGGTGTCAGGTGGAAACCTGTCTCCACCCTCGGCTGCGCAGATGGGAGATGGGGAACCCTCCTCTCAGCAGCACAGAGACCTCCAGGCCTCAGCGCCGTTGCCAGTCCTGTCTGAAGAAAACTGTGCAGGCTGTTTGCAGTTGAAAGCACATCCAGGAGGGGAAGGCGGGAGTTGAGATCCTGCTCTCTGGGCTCTGCCTGTCTCCTAGAGAGGGTGAAAGCAGAGGGATGTGTCGGGCAAACCCAGTGCAAGGGAACTGCCCGTTCTTGCTTTTGGATGCCTCAGGACAGGGAGGTGTGGCACACTGATCCGCTGGTAACTGGTGGCTTTTTTTGCATGAGAAGAAAAAAAAAATAAAAATTTGGATCTCCTTTTTAGAGAAGATGGACCCAAGTGAGTCGCTAGCAACTTGGCAAAGCGTGGATCAGCTTGCTTGCATCCAAACAGCCAGGAAGGAGAGACTTGAGCTTTTTGTAGGGTCTTCCCAGTGGGAACAGATTATTTTTAATTTTTTTTATAATGAAGCATTACCTTGAAACAGGTGTGATTTTATCCTGATCTGAAGGAGAAGTGAGAAAAATCATTTTTGCAGGTGTGTTTCAGATGACAGGGAAGAAGAGAGGCCGATGGCAGCCAGCAAAGAGAGCTGAGGTGGATGAATCTGAGTTCAGGGTGCGTGTGCTGAGCAGATCCAGGACCAGGGAAAGGTGTTTCCTGGAGGATGAATTACTGTGCATGAATGAATTATTGTCAGCGACAGGGCCATGATGCACTCTGAGTAAGATATGTTGGCATAAACCTCAGTTAAAACGAGCTTATTCTGTCTCAGGTACATGCAGTTCCCTGCGTGTGCCCTGTAGAGTGGGGGAACTTGAGGCAGCTCAACTATCTCTGTGTCTGCACCCCTCCATGTCAGCGTCTGGCTGTCCAGGGACCCCCAAGTGTGGGTGATGAGGAATATGTTGGGCTGGTGGGAC